AGCAGGAATTGGGTGGGGTGAGTAAATATTTCCCATTTTCTACTAGTTACAAGTTTTTTTAAAAAAATAATAATAATAAAAAGGTGTGACTTTGCTTGGGATTGCAATGAAAGTAACTGTGCAACATTGTGCTAATCCTGTGTGCAGTTTGACACACTGGTCTGTTTTGCCAGTATATACATGTCATATTCCGTAATATTAATATGTACACTTGTGCATGCTTGCATGTATACTTGGAGCCCAAGTATGAGTGGGAATATGGGTACACAATACCAAGGCTTGGACAAGGGACAGCTGAGGCTATAAGCCCATTACCATGATATGGTCTGTTTATATCATTTCAGAAATAAAGCAGATTTTTATTCCAGAAATCTTGGTTGTATGTATAGGAAAAGATTGTGTAAGGAAGGCCCCCTGTGGATAGTGGGCTCAGAGAAATGGCACTTGGGGACCTGTGAGTACTCTCTATTGTGGACAAAAACTGAGGTACCTTTTCATCTTATGTAAACCATCCTGATCACTCCTCAGAGGAAGAGGAGCCATCGCTGTGCTGCAGCTCTGGTAAAGATTTGCTTAGTTGAGAGGAAGGAGCTCATAAATATGTTACCTTAAAACACAACTGTTTGATATATTGAGAACATACCCCTTCTCTAGTAGCTGTACTAAAGCAGAATGAACCATTATGTTTGCAGCTCAGGTTATAGGCAAAGGAAACACGTGAAGTAAGTGTTCAAGCTTGGCCACCTATTGAATATAAATTACGGCTCTGGTTGTGCTTGAACAGAGTTTTCCAGTTTGCTTTAATTTTCTGCAACCTATCCCCAACTGCCCGGGTAAGTGAATGTTTCAGGCGTATACTGCACAACAGAGAATCCACTGAAATCAATGAAATCCCCCATTGCCTTGCTTTTAAAGGCACAGACTACATAGTACTCTGTGAAAAGTCATACAAATTTCCATCACATGGATTCTTTGATCATAATAGATCCATCAGAGTGGGTTTTTCCTTCTGGTGGCTAGATATTCTGGACAATAGTTGTTCCTGTAGCTAAAGTGGGAGGGCTTTAAAGAGAAGATCTGATGGGCAAAGATTAAGCTCTGGCCTGTCTGCCATGCTGCTATGTGTAGATACGATTGCTTGCATTTTTCATTTCTTTCTTCTCATTTTCTCTCTCTTTTCTTTTTTTAGCCTTTAAAACCTGACTCTTTCAGGGGAGAAGTATTTCCAGTTACAGGTCATTATAAACATGTCTAATATCCATGCAAGAACAGAAACAAATTCGTGTACATTAGCACTGGCCCCGCTGATTGGACTGACTCATAAATGAAACTGTATAATAGGATAGATAGGGCACTGGGAACATCTCACACATTTAGGACTGCATGATGCATTACTATTTCCTCTGTGCCTATTCAGCCACTCACATATTGCCCATCTAATCGATGTAATTGTGATGGGGGGAAAACACTCATGCCACCCTTCAGACATCACAGCACAGATGCTTTCTCCTATATGGAGATATATGTGGGAAATTATAACACATGAATCAGCCCTTACAGTTTGTGATGGCATGTGTGGTTTGAATGGAAAAAGCACCTATTAACTTTGCCTGGCTATTGACATTAGAGAAGTGGGACATCGTAATTTCCCCCCATTAGGCTCCATACCTGCTTCCCAGGGAGCTGTGGTATAATTAATGCAGCTGGTTAGGGATCTCTCCTACGAGGGGCTGGAGAAGGTTAGCCCCATTGCCATTTTATTAGCAGATTTCCACTACAAGGACCACCCCTCTTTGTAACTCTTCACAAGATAAGCAAGGTTGACATGGAAAGGTAAACACTGGCGTGTTAGCAAGACCCATTTCTAACATGGGACCAATGCTCCCTCTAAGCTGCGGAGTCTTGTGAGCAAAAATTCTACTCTGTGAGCTCCTGGCATTAAAGTTGTGAGTGAGCGATTTGGCTACTGCATAAATTAGTTTGCCCTGGAGCCCTCCTTCCTGAGCGAAGACAAAAATGTGTGAGCCGAAGGCTAAAAAACTGTGAGCTGGCTCACACTAGCTCAGCTTAGAGGGAACACTGCCTGGGACCCACTGAGCACCACCCGCTCTCCTCACTTTCTTCAGGTCAAACAGGAGATGTGCAAAACAACAAAGTGGCCTCAGACTGCGTTTTAGCAAGCTCTTGTAGTGACTGATGAGGCATCCAAATGTTGGAAATTGAGGGGTTTCTCCTGCACTAGGAGTCTGTAGGGCTACCACTTTGCCTGAGAAAGGCTGTCTGAGTCTTGACTCTCTTCTGTGTGTGTGTTGAGAGACTACACACACTCCATACAACACTGGAAGCATCTGGAGACAGTAAGGGAAGAAGGAGCCTTTTTAAAATTCCTCCTGGCAAAGTTCTAACCAACAGCAGAGGAAATTCAGGGTAACTTTAGCACCATACAGTCCGTTTTAAAACTGTTCAGATCCGGTGCCAGTCGCCAGGATTGCTGCCATCAGCCACAAGAGATGATGCCACCTTGTATTTTGTAGCTCTCTCCCCAGTCTCAGTCACTACTGGGATCTCCGTCATAGCCTGGCTGCTCCCAGTCCATCGGTGAGGGCAAAAGTGATTTTGCTAACCTTGGTGGGATTGGGGGGCAGGGGGGAAGAAGGTGGGCGTAGCGGCAGTCCTCATGGGCACCCGACAGCCCTGGCCTCTCGCTGCATGATAGATCTTCTACCCCTACCTGACTTACAGGAACCCCAAAGCGACCCTCTCCCCGTCTGTGACCAGACACACGGCCGGGCAAGGGAACTTGGAGTAGGGGGTAGGAAGGAAGCGATGCTGGAGGGGCTGCTGAGGAAGACAGAGCGGGTGGGCAGGAGGGGAGAGTCCCCGGCGCCCGCCCATTTAGGGGAAACTGGGCGCAGCTTGGGGCACGGCGTCGCCTCTGGGCGTGGGGGGGGGGAAGGGAGCCGGCTTGAGGTCTCCAAGGCTACGGTACACTTTTGCAACCCCCGGCCTCTCCCGCTCCGTTCCTTCCATCCTCCTCCACCCGGGTAGGCAGAACTTCCATCTTCCCAGCAGAGCCGCCTCTGAGATCTTATCTTCCCGGGAACAGAACAGTACGGAGCTTGTCACAGCCGGCTGCCCGGTGCCCGCCAAGATCAGCTCTCGGAGAGCGAGGGGGAGGGTGGCTCAGCGCCCGGGGCTTGGCTCGCTTTCTCCACGGTGCCCATCCTCCCCGGGCCTCTCCGGGCAGCGGCTGGGCTTTCTTCCGGCCACCGGCCCGGCCCCCTCGCGAAGGTTACTCGCGCCGAGTTTCTGAAGGCTGCGCGCACCGTCTCAACGCCCTCCTCCCCATCCCCGTCCCCGTCCCCGCCCGTCACAGTTTGGCTCCGTATCGATCGGCGCTGCCTGGCCGCGCTTCCCCTGCAATTCCAGGTAGTAAATCAGTGCCAAGCGGCGCCACCTCCCAGCGTTGCCATTGGCTGGCTGGCTCCGCTCGACCCTCGCTGATTGGATGCCTCTGCGCCACAAGGCTTTACATAAAGGAGCGCCCGCTCGGCCGGGCTTGCCTGAACTGGAGAGAGGGACGCGGAGCGCCAACCCAGCGGCGCCGGCTTCTTCGCGCAGCACCTCCGGCTCCGGGAGCAGGGCGGCTCTCTCGTCCCTCGCCCGCCCGGGATGCTCCGTGGCCCGCTGGCAGGCATGGCACCCCCGGAGCATCCCATCTCTCCGGTGAGTACCGATGGTGACCCTTGTCCAGCTCGGTACACCTGAGGGGGGCAAAGTTTCCACTTCGGGTGGAGAAGAAAAGTTGGGCGCCGGCAAAGGAGGCGAGGAGCCGCCCCTCCACCAGCCTCCCCGACGACCAAGTGCCCTCTGAAAGCCCGGCTGGCTTGGCGACTACGGACAGCCAAGGTGCCGCGAAGGGAGCGCGCTAGGATGCCTTCGGCAATGGGAGCCGGGGCGGGGGAGCCCTGGAACCCCAAAGCGGAGTGGGGGTGGTGGAGATTCTTGGGGTGCCCAGAAGTGTTGGGATGGAGTGGGAGGCAACGACAGCCTTCCCTTGCTGGTCGGCCTCTAACCCCTGCCTGAGGGAAGGGTCTGGCACTGGGCAGGAAAGAGAAGGGTAGGATCCGCCGGGTGCCAAGGTCTAACTGCTCCTAAGGTGACTGCTGCTGGTCTCCACACTGCACCGCCGGCTGCTACTGGCTGTGCCCCAGCTTTCGGGCTGGCCTGCTGTCCCGCACTGTGCCAGAGAGGGAGAGGAAGGCAAGGGCACCAACTCTGAAGTACAACTCCCAGAGCCTGGGCGATAGCTGAGGAGATGGTGGGTCTGGTGCTGATCTGGGTGGCTTTCGCAGGGAAGGGAAACCCAGCTGCTGCCTGCAGCATTAATGCAGGCTCTGGGCTGGTATCAGCGGTGCAGCCAGAGACAGTGTGAATTTTCTTAGTAACAGTCCCAAGAAAAATACCAGGATCTACCCGGGGAGGACTGCCAGGCGGGGACCGGAGCACTGTCGCGAGGATGCCACATATGTGCCTGGCGGGCTCTGTTCCTGTGCCTGAGTTACTTGCACTAGTGGTACTTTGGGAGATAATGTGGTGGTTTGGGATCCTGTGATGTTGCCTTGCTAATTTGATGCAGCCACAATTCACTGGCTGTAGGGTTGTGATGTCACTGAGCAGGGTTTGGAAATTCATTTTGAGAATGACGCCGTGAGTCTGTGGTATCCTTGGCCCACAGTCGTGTGGGGAAGACTGTGGGGCTGCTGGAGGGTTGTGTTTTACCTCTGACATGTGGACGGCCCAGGGGCTGTGATGTCTGTTAGGAGAGCCATGGCAGGGACATGCAGCAGCAACTGCTTGTTTGTGCAGAGCCATAATGTCATTACATTTCAGGATCTGCTGAGACCACCGCTTTGGGAGACCTGGGTCTGAGGCACCTTCCCCTCTTTCAGGACAGGCGATCAAGCTGTGTCTGCGCTCTGAGAGTCCTGTGCTCCAAACCAGCATGTCATACAACTCCCTCTACCCCCCACCCCCACGGGTGGGGGACAGCAGGCTGCTGCCATCCTGATGCGGCCGATCACTTCCTAGAGATCATCCAGTGACACCTGCGCCTTGGGGCCGGGTCTGCTGGGCTGGGTACCTCTCTTCAGTTATGCTCTGTCAATAGGTATATTGCAGTGTTATTGACCACACCCTGCAGGAGCAAGCAAACTATGGACATGTACAGCAGCAACCTGGCCTAAGAGGTGCCTTCTCCTTTGTGTGGATGTGAACTAGCACTGCTGTGAGCACTAAAATTTTAAAAGTTTTCCATCTGCTTAGCATCCGGGGTCTGATCACCACCAAGATAACCTTAGAGCAATGGGGTTGGGCAGCTTGCCCAATATGAAGGGGGAGGGGATCATGCAGCCAGTGCTCAGCACGCTGCCCCTGGCTAATTTGCTGCACTGTGGGCACAGAATAGGCATCCTTCTGGTGCGTGTGATGTTTCCTATGCCAAAGGTGGCCTGTTGGTGGAGAAGGGAGTGATATGCAGTCTCCAAGATCAGGGTGGAGGAGATGGTGGCTTCCTTCAGCATTCCCAACCAGAACAAGATGGTGACCAACCATTGTTTTTTTCTATCTATTTCCAACAACTTCTTTCCCTAGAGCATCTCTGCAAGGAGGTCGGTACCATGGTGACCATGTGGCATTTGCCAAGGCACCTGACACTGGTTCTGTACCTGGTTTGGTCAAAAGATGGACTAAGCCTGAGCTTGGATATACCTTATTCAATTGCTGTTATCAAAGCTTCCCCAACAAGAAGGAGGAAAGGGTCCAGAGGGAAAATCTTAGCTACAGCCTCATGTTCTGAAAGGTTTTCAGTCTTCTGCCTGAACATGGTAGGCTCTCTGCCCCATTTTTCTGGAGGGCCTGTCTCTTGCCCAAATGTGTTGGGGCTGTCCTTCTGCTTTCAGCACCCTACAGTGAGTCCTGAAGCACATCACAGAGCATTTTGGCTCCTTCTGTGGCTGGCACAATGGAAACTCTTGGCAATGGATGCAACCACCCCAGGGCTTAATCATTTTTGTCTTTGGAGACCGACTACACAGTTCCTTTTTAGATACTCTCCAGGGCTGCCTTTAAGGGGAAGATGTTATCAGTTAGTCAGATAAAGGGATCAAGTAAGAGTTGCTTCACACATCACAATCTGTGCTTGGTCAAGATCATATCGGCTTTTGTGAGGACTGAGTGTATAGGTTGTCATGTGTGCTTGATGTTCATATGGTTGTTTTGTTCTGTATGTGTGTCTTGGGAAGTCTGAGCTAATTTTTTAAAGTGTACACACATCGGAGAAAAATGCTCGTGGGTATGGTAATGCACTGGAATCTAAACCAAGGCAAGCATCATGCATGCCAAATGGTGGCATCCAAACCCATTTTGCTAGGCAGGGCATCTTCCGTGCTCTGCCTCCAAAGCAAGGATGTAGCCAGGCTGTGCTTGAGCAGAACTCCAGAACTTTCTTTGGACCTGGAGCAGTCAAGCTGTCAATAGAAGCATCTTCTTGCCCCTCTTCCAATGAGTGATAGCAACCACACCCTAGTGGGTGGTGCGCAGTCCATTTGTGCAGCCTTGCTGCTCAATGTTCTTAGACCGCAAAGTGATGTGGGAGGTTGCCATCTGCACATGCAGTGCTGCCACTTTTCTGAAGAGCAGAAGCCATGACTCTGCTCCACCCTCCACCTCTGCAGCCAGCATTGCCCTCATCTTCTCCCCCACCCCGCTTTGTTTGCCCCCACACCAGCATATTTAAAGTTACGCACTGCATTTCTTTTGGCACTCAGGCCAAATGATCTAGAGAGTTTTACCTTCTTTCTACACAGAAGTGTCTTTTGTGCTGGGATTTCATGACGTGAGAACCAACCCAAAGTGGACCCTTGATAGTCATAGCAGGATCTCTAAGCTCTAGCAGGCGGGCCCTCAAGTGAAAGAGCCGGGATTATGGAAATCAAATGTTTGTGCGCGCGTGTCTCTGTCTGCCTGTGCACAGGTGTAAGCGCCGTATGTGTGTGTTTAGGAAGGCAGCTTTAATTAATGGCCATTTCCCTAATGATCTATCTGGAAATGCTCACTGATGTATGGGTTTAATTAGCCCAAGCCAAACGCTGGGAGCCCGATGGTGGAACACGCCGTCCCTGTCACTAGGTGCCTGTTGCCGTCCTGTTTTTCAGGGAAGCTTGCTTAATGACAAGTTAATCTGGGCCTAAAGTGGAGGATGGTGCCTGCACCTAGGCTGCCAGCTCTGAGTGTGATGGATAACATTACTGTGGGCCAACACGGAGAGATGCATTGTGTTGCTGCACCTTTTGCCTGCTCCCTTTGCCTGAAGGAATTTCTGTTCTAGGCCACTGACCTTTACAGATTATGTCCAAGGTGAATGGAATGGATTCAGACCTTGTCCCACTCACAAGATCAAATATGGTGGCCCTCTTGGCGGACTGCACCATGGTTATGAGCATGCTTCTTCAGCAAAGGCACAGAGGTCTCATATTAGTGGGGCTTATAGACCGATGGTATCCGGCAGTCTGTTGGCAGCATAACAACCCTTTGCGAGCTGCACAGTGATATATTCCATCCGCTGCTTCATACTTTATCATAAAACTTAATGAATTGCACAAACACCACCCATTCCACCTCAAGGTACTCATTTGGGGCATATGGTGATTCGGGCTGTGTTTGGAGCAGCTAGGTTCTGGCTGGTTCTAGACTAGGAGCTGTAGAAATTTGGGGTGTTCTGACACTCTTTACCTGCCGGTGGCATGAGTAAGCCAGCCTGTGTTTTTCCAGGGTGCTAGCCCATATTTAGCCCAAGCAGGAAAATGGCTGCAGAATGCTAAAGAGCCAGGCAAAAATATTTCTTTAGCCGAACCACAACTGAGTTACCAAAAGATGGGAATGGAGAATGAGACACGTTTGCTGGAGTCTAGGACACAATTGGATATGGTTGCAATTCGGGCAGTCCCAGAGAGCCGATATTAGAACTAGTGAGTGATGATTCACAGGGATGCTTGCAAGATTACATATGCACCTTAACTACCCTTTTGTTCACACTATTCAAATGGACAAAGCATGATGAAAGGATGGATCCCCCCTTCCCAAGAGGTTGTAAAGGCAATATTGATTCCTAACCCACAGTAGCAATTATAAGAACACTCCAAGTTGACAGCCCCAGAAAAAAGATGCTGATTAACATAAGATGCAAGAGTTCTCATATGCATGTGCTGACAGAATGAAAAAGTGCCTCCTTTGACTATCCAGATTGCATGTACAAATGAGGAGGGAAGAGTTAAACTGAGAGAAAAAGTACATTTAAATTGTGAAAATGTACTTTCAAGTGTAGAAGGATGACCAGGACCTGAGAGATGTGCTACAGTATTCCTTGAACTGGGCAGTTTGTTCTTCTCTGCTTGTGGCACATCATGCATTGTGGGTTACCCTGCAGGAGGGATCAGTTAGGAGGGATCATTGTGAGGTGTCTGTGGGTGTGCCTTAGGGCTGAAAGAACCCTTAAGGTTCTCTAGCCTTACAATCAGACTCAGCAATTGTTCTCAGGACAAAACCAGGGGCTGATTAATCTGCCAGAGAAATGTCATTTTGTGAATGTCCTTGCATGTTGTTGGATATTCATCCCCTGGTGTGTACATGATTAGATGTACCCACCAAACTGTTTAAGGTATCTACGAGCGATTTCTCACTAGAGCTGCCTCGCAGCACAGCGCCGCTTGCCCCAACACAAACATGTCAATTTCACACCCGAGGCTGTGGGGCTGCATTTGACTCGGGGCTTTGCCCGATTTCCTCCGCAGTTTCATGATCCTCAAAAACCAGGATCACGAAACTGCGGAGGAAATCGGGCCCCCGGAGTCAAATGCAGCCCCGCAGCCTCGGGTGTGAAATTGACATGTTTGTGTCGGGGCAAACGGCGCTGTGCTGCGAGGCAGCTCTAGTGAGAAATCGCCCTACATATTCCTTCCCTCTGCCTCCTCTTGTGGCAACAACCTGGTGACTGCATGGCTTTCCACACAAGTTCCCAGCTCCAAGGTTAAATGGAATAGTGTGAATGTAAGTCATGATGAATCAAATTGAGCCTTCATTATTAGAGGCAGTATATCTGTTGTTGGATGCTTGAAGCAAACAATAGGGCATAGCTAATAAATCATGCCCTGTTTTTGAGCAGCCCATGCTGAAGACAGTATGCTTGCTAGTCAGACCTGTGGTCTCATCCAACAAGGGAATGCTTGTTTTTTTTGTAACCTGTACATCTCTGTAGGGTTTTGCATTCAGAGAGACATTACGTTCTGCCCCATTGAGACTTCCAGGGTAGTGAAAGTCCATTTCCTTAGCAATTTTCTATTCTGATCTATTTTTACCATGCATTATATAGCATACTTATTTTCTACTAATGCTAATTTAACCTCACCATTACCAACAAACTTGTGGCTGGAAGGAAGGATGCAATGTGTCTTTCTGTAGAAATCACTGAACTCTGGACTAAACACAAACATATGTGGTGTTGCTTTAATGTTCTTTTATAGCCGCTCTCCCTCCATCCAGCCCAGAAGACGAAGTTGGCTTCCCCTGGGAGCATGATGGTCAAAAATGTGTGTGGTGGGGGCTGCCTGTCCTTCAGGAATAGTTTTCCAGAGGGCATTTTAGGCTACTGTAAATAGTCACACTTCCTGGATGCGAATCTCTCCCTGTCTGAAGAAATTTCCCATGGATCCAAGCCCTTCTCCAGGAATTAAGATCAGGTTATCAATGGAAAGTTCAGGAGACTCAGTGGGCTGTAGTAGCTAGAACAGAGGTGTCAAATTCATTTGTTACAAGGGCCGGACCATGAGTGCCATAAAATGTAATGTCAGGTACTGGAGATATAAACTTTATAAAGGACACAAGCAAACCCAATTAATGATATTATTCTTTACTCAAAGTACAAATGAGCTTATCATTAACACTCTTACAGTATCTCCCTGATGCCCACCCTCCCACTTCCACTGCCTGTTATGAATCAGCACTGGGACAGTATACAGGGACATAATGCACAGCCTCTGTCATCTGGCAGTAAAGGTAATCAGATGCTTGTGGGCCAGATAAGAGCCCTGGATGGGCTGGTTCTGGCCCACAGGCCAGATGTTTGACACCCTGAGCTACAGTGCCAGCCTAGGATTTGGAAAGGTCCAGGTTCAAATCCCCACTATGCCTTGGAAACTCACTGCGTGACCTTGGGCCCGTCACTCTGTCAGGCTAAATTATCTTACAGGGTGGGTATTAGGGTAAAATTGAGAAGAGAGAACAGTGTCTTAAACTACTTTATGTTCACATTGTGGAGAAAAATGGGACATAAATATCTTAAATAAATCACTAGTTTGGCAATCTGGGCAGGAATTCACATATGGGGGGGGGAAATCCTCCAGCAGCTGCACAGGAATGACTGACCCAGCCTCATGCCTTTCTGTTTGCAGGTGCCAAGGGGGCTGCTGCTGCTGCTCTGGTGGAGCTTGGTTCTGACTTGGCCTGGCGAAGGATCCCAGCGCAGTGAGCCCATGTTCACAGCCGTCACGGACCATGTCCTCCCCCCTGACTATGACAGCAACCCCACGCAGCTCAATTACGGTGTGGCTGTGACTGATGTGGACCAGGACGGAGACTTCGAGATTATCGTGGCTGGGTGGGTACCCCCAGGGGTCATTTCGTAGAAAAAGACATGTAGGAGCTCATTAGCATAACTTATTTGCATATGCCACACCCCCTGACATCACTGGAAGTGTGTCAGAAGGCAACACCCACCGCTCAGGCTCCACTGGACTGTTTTGGATTGCTAGCTATTGGGGGTGGGGGGGAATGCGCAGATCTGCCCTCACAGAGGAGGGAGAGCTTGTATCTGAAGGCAGGCCCGGGGGGGGGGCCTCTGTAACTTACCTGGCTGCTTCTTGGTCTTCATGGCCTGACTGAGGGCTGCTGGGAGCAGGGGGTGGGGCTTGTTGCATGTTCCCACCCCCTGGGCTCCTTACTGCCGGAGCTCCGCTCCTGTGCGCTCCTGCAGGAAATGACCCCTGGGTACCACCAGGCAATGTTTGCTAACCCCAGAGTTACTGGAAAGTGGGATGGTTGCCGGCAGAGAAGATACCATGGCCGGGGTGGTCAGCAGGCTGGCTCTCTCAAGCAGCCGCTTCAGAAAGTTCCTGTTAGCAGGACCAAGAGCCAGTCCAGGCTGGCGTGTGGGAAAGATCTTCATGGAATTTTTTAAAAAAATAGGGGTGGAAAGGGTAAAGCAGGGGTGTTCGTACTTTCTCAACAGGCTAGTTTGAGAGGGCAGCACTGATCTGGCACAGATCCAGAATAAGCCAGAAGTAATAACAACTCAGATGCAGCTCAGGCAGGTGCTGAAATGGCCATGAATGTGCCGACACAGTAAAACTTCCTACAGCAGCTTCCTCACAGCTTATAGCGTAACTGCCTTTCCAGAGTCATTTCTCTGACAAACTGTTTGCCTGCAGCATGTGTCGCCCCCTCCCCCTTCTCTACCCACCCTCGGCCACGTGGGAGTCATGACCAAGTGAATGGGCACCAAAGGCAGCTGTCCCTCTATACTTTGCCACCCCGTGTACAACTTGTCCTGCCCATAAAACATTGGTGAATTACATTCAGCTGGAAGGAGCATATATCTGTTGGAGGACTTTATGTCTAGCTCTTCTTAGAGAGCTGGGTGGCTGATCAGATTTGCATCTTCAGCTGAATTCATTTTCCCAAGGAACCTCACCTCTGCGTACCTTCCTCCCCCCTCTTCCACTGCTTCTCCCTCGCAAGCCTCCCCCCCCTTATTTTTAAAATTATTTAATACGTTCTAATCCCACCTTCCTTCCGAGGAACTCAGAGTGCTGTATGTAATTCTTACCTCCACAGTTTTACCCCGACAACCACCCTCTGAGGTAGGCTAGGCTGTGGGTGACTGGCCCAGGTCACCCAGCAAGCTTCATGGCAGGGTGAGGACTTCAGCCTTGGTCTCCCAGATCCCCCACAGCCTAGCCTCTACACCAGACTGGCTCCCCCTGGCTGGTCTGTTCTCTGCACTCATAATGGAGCAGAGCACAGTAACAAACCTGCTTGCAGAGAGAGTCCCATATTTTCCCCAACTTGAAAATTTCTGGATCCTCCCCATCAGAACCTGCAGGCATCTCAGCTGTCTAAACTTGTATTTTGTGTTTTTTTTAAAAAATATCAATTTCACAGTATCATTAGCCCTATGATATTCTCTTCAGATCCCTTCACTGGCTGCTCTCAGATCTAGCACAATTGCTTCTTCTGTACCTTCAAAGCCCTCCATGATTTCAGTGACTTAACTCTCCCACCCTCATAGCAGCATATCCCTGCCAATTAACTTTCCACCTCCAGTTCCACCTTCCCCTTCACCTGTCTGACTGTCTCATCTCACTCAAGTGACTCTTTCCTTGCTGCCCCTTAGGCCTGGAAATTGTTACCCAGAATACCTGCATGAGGCCATCCCTTTCACTTCTTTCAAATTCTTCCTCAAAAACCACCGTTCCAAGACATAGTGGTGTGTTGGGCTAAGATCCTGGAGATCCAGTTTGGTGTAGTGGTTAAGTGCGCGGACTCTAATCTGGGAGAACTGGGTTTGATTCCCCACTCCTCCACTTGCAGCTGCTGGATGACCTTGGGCAAGCCATAATTCTGGCACAGCTGTTCTTGAAAAAGAACCGTTTCTGTCAGAGTTGTCTCAGCCCCACCTACCCCACAGGATGTCTGTTGTGGGGAGGGGAAGGGAAACGAGTTTGTAAGCCACTCTGATACTTAGGTAGTGAAGGGTGGGGTATAAATCCAATCTCCTCCTCTTCCTCCTCTTCCTCTGTTTACAGTGAACTTCTATGTGGTGTGTGTGTGTGTGTGTGAGAGAGAGAGAGAGAGAGAGAGAGAGAGACCTTGGGCCAGTCACTATTTCTCAGCATAACTCAACTCACAGGATGGTTGTTAGGACAGAATGGACAAGGGGAGAACAATGCAGTAAGCTCTTTCAGGGTCCCCATTGGGTAAAATAGATACAAATACCTGAGCCTAAGCAGGTATAATAGGAATTGATGCATATTATTTTTCTATTTATTCCTGTCTCCCTTAAGGCAAATTTTTGATTGTAATCTCATCAGGGCAGGGGCCTTGCATTCTGTGAAGTGCTCTAAGCACTGGTGTCCTGCACAAATACCAATAATTTGTTAATAGTATCTGCAGCATCATAAGGGATCATCAGTTCAACAGCCATCCCTATGCCAGTCCCTACCTTTCTCTAAACACTCATTGTATCTGCTTTGGCAAGATTAAGCACCCTTAATCAGGAATCTTATGACTGCTCCCATAACTAGCTTTAATTCTTTGTATACCATGACAAATCCCAGTTGTTAAGCAGTATAATTTGTTTGACAGGAGTTGAACTGGAAGGGGGCTCACTGGTTTATTTATTACCAAACTTGTTTTTCGGCTAGTAAAGCACAACATAGATGGATGTCTTAGGCTGTATTCCTTAACATTAAGAACCCCACCCAATATTATGACCAGGACCCCTGATTATCTGTGTTGATGCAGAATGATTGTGGTGTGAACCATACATATATGTGTCGGGGAGGGGGGCTTGCTAGGCACTTGTGCTGGGTAGGCAAACCCTCTCTTTGATCCCGCCCCTTTCCGTGACTCCAAGGTCAGCAGCTCTTGGCACAGCCTGTGTGGAGGAACTGTCTGCATTCCCACTTAGCCAGCATCTTTCCCCATAGTTGATGGTGATCCTTTGCAGGAGTCCGGGTGTCTGCATAGCAGCACGCAGCCCTCTTCAGGGAGGAGGAGGAATCTTTTCACCAATCAGCACACCCAGGCTGGAACTTCTATGTTATCCTCAAGGGCAAAGCTGCCATCTTTGGGACCTAGACAACTTCAGTGTCTTCCCCACAGTCACTTGGATTTAATGTTTCCGCAGCATACTAGATGCGGAGGAAACATAACGAGTGGGGAAAACAAGTGCTGGGGGTCTCGGTGTCTGGTCCTAAGGAAGAACAAAGTTCCCCCTGGCTGGGTGTGTCCCCAGATGCCGCAGTCCCTGCTTTCCCCCTTAGAGGGAGGGGCAGCCCTCTTCTTTCCACGCTCTCTTGCTGTTCTGACAGGTTTCAGTGTGTCCCTTGACATTGTATTAATTGGCTGGAGGGGTAAAGGAGGGCACCCAGCTCATTATGGGCAGCCTTGGCTTGGAAGGGTGCACAGGAGTGAGCAAGGTAATCTGCTGTGTGCTCCCTGCATCCACAAGCTGCCAAGAGCCCCAAAGGGCTGGGATGGGGGGGGGGGGGAATGGAGCTGACACTTGAAGAGCCAGCTGGCTCCTGTCACAGATTCTCCTTTGAATGAGGAGTGGCAAATGCAGAGCACCACAACAAGGGATCTGCATTTGTAGGAGGAGGAAGTGTCCATGCTTATGGTCAGGGACTTGTGTGTCTGTGCAGAGATCCGTGGGAGAAGACTGGTACACAACCAGCAATATAAGAGATGGACACCAGAACTAAACTTGGTAGGAGCCCAGCTGAACCCAAAGGATCCCCTCAACCTGCTTGGCAGATATCCTGCGGCCCTCATAAAGGAAAGGATATGGCAAGTGACACCCTGGGCAATCCTGACTTGGCTCCCACTTAAAATTGACTGCAAACTCATGTTCTACATAGTCTGAATCCCAGTGGGGAGGGCCATGCTGGGCCCTTTTGAGGCCGTTAATAGCCATGATGCATTTTAGCATCGAGTGGCAAGTGGTAGGCCCCGCACCTTATGAGATGGGGGGGAGCCTGCAACTGTTAACAGAATTCACATTAAAAATCAATAAATGTCATGTTGAAGATTCTGGGTCTCATGGTAGCAACAATGCAGAAGGAAACAATAGCAAACTGTGGCTCTGATGCCTGCTACAAAAACCATGCATGATTAGAAATGGAAGGGTTCTTACTTGAATGTTAAGCCATCTTAGATGTATGTTTCTGGATGGGTTAGAAATTATCATTGCTTGAAGTAGAGGATTAGATGATATTGTAAACAGAAATTTGCACCAATGCTCCTTAGGCATGCTTAGTCACCAATTCTGCGTTTCATCTGAAAAAACCCCCCCCCTTTCCCCCCCCCCCCCATCATTCCACTGACCTTTCTTCATGGGCTTGCATTCCAGACCCTCCACCTCCATCACTCTGTTCTGATCTGTCACCAATTTGTCAATGTTCTTATTAAGGGAGGAACATTAATGATAAACCAGTGCTTCAGCTCTGGCTTGAGCAGCTCTGAATAGAGCAATTGCCTCCTGTTTCACAGATACATCGTTTCTGCTGAGACTGTCCCCAAGTAGTGTGTCAGCTCTTGTTATACTCCTAGCTTACCTTCAGTTGGGTTCCACAGCAAATCACCCTCAGCTGAATTCTTAAGGTGATAATTCCCCATTGGGCATCATTTACAGCAGTACTTGAGCATCTACACAGGGGTATTCTCCATGCCACCCCAAACCCCAACCTCCCCAGGTGCTACTCCCAAATCTCCAGGAAGTTCCCCACCCAGCATTGGGAGCTTTAGGAGAAGGGCAGGCAATGCTCCCTCTAAGCTGTAGAGCCTTGTGAGCAAAAAGTCTGCTCTGTGAGCTACTGG